AAAAAAAAAAAAAAAAAAAAAAAGAAAAAAAAGAGTAAGAATATACACAGACTAAATACCGAGATTACATCGATAAATTTTCCTGAACGAATTGTTCTAAAACGATCTACACATATGTGTTACATAGTCTAACAAAGTGTTTTAAACATAGAAATCTGTGGCCGAGTTGGAAACTGCAAGTTTGGTTAATTTATAAGATTACACAACGCTCGTAAAAGTGCCTGTTCACGGGAGATTTGAAACAAAGTCGGAGAGGAAAAGAATATTCTCCTATTCTATGGCGGAAATTATTCGCGGACGTAGCGCTACCATTTCCGTGAAAAGAATGGAAACCAGAAAAGCTTCGGCAAACATCGCGTCGTTGAATCGCCGAGAAATGTTTCTCTTTTGCCTCGAACAAAGATGAAATTTCTTTAAAAAAGAGAGAAAAAAAAAAAAGAAGAAGAAAAGAGAATATCCTCGCAATTGATCCTTTGAATCTTCCTTTAATTACCGAATCACTCGTTCGAATTTTAATTTACAACGAAAATTTTGAATTTTGTAAAATTTTTGAAACTCTCACTCAAGAGACTTATTTCGCAAAGAATTGAAATTAATTTAAAATTTAACTTTCGATCAATTATTTTCACACACTAAATCTTATATCCAAAAATTTTTAAAACCAAAAAAAAAAAAAAAAAAAAAAAAAAAAAAAAAAAAAGAAAAAGTCAACCCATGTTACCTTCGTCAAACGCTTAAAAAATCGACTCTTTTCTCAAAAATCCACTCTCCTCTCCTATATATCACATCCCTCGTTCAAACACCCCCTTAAAAATCCCCCGTTTTTTGCACACCAACCAACAATAATCCACCGTGAACCGAGACCACCGTGCGACGACAGCCACAGGTTATCGATAACAGAATATGGAGCGATCTGGATGAAGAGAAAAGACAGGAATATGTATATATATATATATCTCGATGGAAGATCGACGTAATCTGGTTGTCGGCCGCGACCAGGATCGATGCTTGGTCGGTTTTCCTCGACAGGGGTGGGCCACCGATGGCCTGTGTACCTGCGGCCTGGTTACACGTTTGCCTTTGTACACGATGGTCACTTGCTGCTCGAATTTGCGTGCAACGGCGCCGATGAAATATACAGCCCTCCTCCCCCCTCTAAACGCATGGCGTTTCTCTCCAACCTCCCTTCCTCTTCCGATAACAGGATAAATTTCACGCATCCCTGCACGCAAATGGACAGGAGCCCAGGCAAAGAAGAATTTCACCGATCTGCTGCTGTTCTACCCGATCTATTCTTCGATTCTTCGTTTCGTTGATTGGATATTGGATGTATGTGGAATCACTTTATCTTCTTTCGGTTATTTTAAATGAATAACCAATTTTTTACTTCTTGAATTATAAATTTTTGTTTTCTCGTCGCTTTGCAGATCGATCATTCGACAAAGATGGATCGTACGAAGAGTTTGTGATGTGTAAGAACGTACGAGGAAAGTTGGAAGGATTAAAGCTTTTTCTTTATTAAGAAATTACCATGCGACAACGCGATAAAATTTTGATTTTAATTCATCAGGTTTCGCCAATGTTCCATTCGAGGTGGGTGCAAAATTTGTATCGTATCGATCGATTAAAATTCATAAGTAATGGAAAAGTATGATAAATCGTTTTTATAGGAGCTTTAGGAATATGTAATAAAATGGAATAAAGTCAAAGGGGTGGAAATTTCGGATCTTGCGCCTTTACAGTATGATGAAATTTTCATCCGTTCGATAATAATTCTCTTTTTCCTCCTCCTTTTCTTTTCTTTTTTTCTCCCCCAACCCACTCCCTCCCTTCTCCCAGAAATATCCCATTGCGATGGAAATCGGTTTTTTAAAAGGTAACCGTGAAAGGACGTCTCGAAAAAAAGCTATAGCGGAATAACTTTCAACACAGGAATTTTTTCCACATTCCAATTTAGAGATCATACTTTACGCG